TGTGCGTTCGAAATGCAAACGGTAATGCAGGATTTGCAATTGCATTTGGATTATGTCACAATTTATGCGTTTTATGCGTCAAAACGCAATTGAAAATACAGTTTGCAATTCCTTTTGAAAATATTCCGGAATATCCTTCCATAGTGAATGGCCCTTTAAAGTGTAATAAATAAATAATTTTTATTGATATTAAAATGTTTTTCCTAAAAATTCAGAATTAGTTTTTCTGTTCAACCATGTTATATGGGTGAATAGCATGATATAGACAAGATTTGGGCACCAAATGGGTTGTTCCACAGGTTTCATGTTGAGCCTCTATTAACGCCATGTCAGCAGCAGTGGTTATATGGCAAGAGGAAACATTTTAATTTCACAATTCAGTCATATACATCATTTCAAAACAATTATATAACAGTTTTGTTTGAAAATTATATATATAAATAAATAAATAAATACAAATATACAAAAACATACATATAATAAAAACAATAACAAGAACAAAAGTAATAAGAACAATTATATAGTCTTTCAGCTTAATGCATGACAAAAAAATTTTAATCGTCCCAGGAGAATTCTTGAAAAAAGAGAAAAAAATGTCCATTAAAATATTTTCTGAATAAAAACGTTGCCTAGTATTATTTAAAATTGGACATTCGATTATAATCTGAATGTAACTGAATTGGCATGTTTTGAAATAGAATGTGGAAGTAGTTACCTAAGAATCCAATTGTGCGTCCCATCAAACAGGGTGGGGGTGATTATATTGGTGAGTGAAGCCACAGAAGCTGCACAATATGCACTCCTATCAGATTAGACACACAATAGCAACCATGAGTGAACAGGCAGACAATGATCACCATCTATGCATGTTAATAACCACAAGCTACATAAGATTAAGAATAAGACTAAAAGTCTGTAGGATCCAATTAGTTTTCAAAGTGACTTTCTTTGTTTAGCGCTGACCTATGGTGAACATTAAGCATTTTTCTAGCACTAATCTGTCTGTTGGGAACAGTAAAAGGTCACTCTTGAAAAATGCTTCAGCACAGTAACATCAGAACATGGGCAATAGAGAGATGTATGGATGTTGTGAAGATGCTTCAGGGTATGCTGGAACAACAGTGACAGAACTCACCTGACATCCACCTCCCCGCCCACATGCATCACAAAGGAGCCATCTGGCTGCTTCACAGAGTACAGGAAATCCAGAAGCTTCTCTCTGATGAGGGAGGAGGCAAACAGAATGTGTTTCCATGGTAATATGATCAACGTAACATCTGTAGGCAAGCAGGTGATCATACAACGCAAACGTGAAACCTGTTGATGACTTTGTAGGCCTCCTCTGTACCCAGGATGCACAGGGCGTTTACAGCTGCGTAGGTGGGAGCCAGGTGAGCGTGTTGACACGGACCTCCAACGAACCCACCTGTCGGACTCTGACATCTGGCCAGAAACTGACACACGCTAGCAGACAACAGTTAACATTGTGATATATTTACAACAACAGGCATATAAATGTCATAGGAACTTAAAGTGCCCCTATTATGCCATTTCGAATATTGCATTTTATGCAGTGTGCAATGTAGTGAATGTAACCGATCTGCAAAGTTGTAAAGCTGAAAGTGCATGATAAATAAAGTTATTGTCTCCCAAAAGAAAGAAACAGCTCAGAACAGTCTAAACGAGTCGTCGTCAAAATTTGAATCCCACTTCCGTAACGGCTACACGTCACGTAACACATTTGCATAATGCCCGCCTATGTTCTACATTGGTCAGCTGCGAACACTATAGCTTGTTCGTGTGGTTAACATCTCAACATGTCGAGAAGACGCTGTGTCCTATGCTGTGTAAATTCATTTTATTTTCACTTCCGAAAGATGAGGCTGCAAAGAATCAGTGGTTAAAATTCACAGTAGTACAACCCCAATCTTTTTTTGTGTTCCCGTAATTTTTCTGATGACTGCTTCTCTAATCTCGGGGAGTTCGATGCGAGTTTCACAAAACGCTTGCTCTTGAAAGATGTTTCAGTTCCCAATTTATTTGGACCAGCTCTCTCCACTGAATAACAACCTGTAAGTATGATAAATAACAGATGTTTATATTTTCAGTCGAGCATTCAAAATACGCAACTATGGCAAAAGACTGAATCTTAGAACTCCTTCGAACGAATCATTTGAGAATCGTTGGAAAATGAGGTGATATTAAATGCATATTTTGAGAAAACAAAAGCGTTTTTTGACCTTGCATGCATGTAATCCTCGTGTTCTGTGACAGCTGCACCTAGATCTGACTGGTGAAGTGTCATCTGGGGCAGGCAGAGTAAGAGTAGCAGCATTTTCTGTTTTGTCACATGCATCTATCGGATCGTAAACAGACTGAGAGATCTTGAGGCAGGTGCACATAGGCTATTAGATAGGAATAAGATGTAGGTTGCAAATAGGTAAATACGTGTAGATTTGCTCTGTTTGTTTGCTTAAGTTCATCAAGTGGAGTGCAAACGGTAAAAGGTCTTGAGGCAGGTGTGACGCTCTCTATTATGGATTAAAAGTGTGAGTGTAAACAGTGAGAGATGCTGAGACAGGTGAAAAGCGTTTGGTTAATAGTGAATATTGACCTATTGTGCGTACCGTTGTGGCTCCCGCTGTTAGCAGGGGATAATCGCTACATTTGGGGTAAAAAAGACAGAATTATGTATTGTGCCAAGAAGGTTGCACTGTCTATTCGTTCACACAGGTACGAAACTGATAGGTAGCTGCCTTTAGCGGAGCCTTTACCGATTACCTCCATTGATCAGAGCATTCGGCACGGTCGTCTGTGAGTGACGTCACCTCCCAATACAAACACGCCCCCTAGTATAGTCGCCTGACGATGATTGGCAGCTTTCCATGTATACATCGGAAATTCAAATGCAAAAGGAATTGCGATTCCATTTGAGTTTTGGCAGGTTACATGCGCGATGCAGCGAGAGTGAAAAAGCAGACTGGTAATTAATATTGCTATTTAAATATGACAGGCTCGTAACTCCTAAGACAAGGGAAATACAGTTGCAAATGGACTTTGGTTTTTCATTTGAAATTTGGCAGTCACTGTGCATTCGCGAAAGCGAAAATGCAAACGGTAATGCAGGATTTGCAATTGCATTTGGATTATGTCACAATTTATGCGTCCACATATTGAAAACGCAATTGAAAATACAATTTGCTATTCTATTTGAAAATTGTCCGGAATATTGTTCCAGCCTCCAAATGCAAAGATTAAGGAAGAAGACATTTTTTTAGTGGTTAAACTGTGATTGGTGTGATATGAGATCTTTGGCCGTGTGATTCCTGCCTGCAGCTATGCTGTTAATTAAAGACTTTTGAGAGCAACTGTGGGAATCATTTCACACACACACACTTATTCCTCGTCCTGTCGAGGGCTCATGGGACACGTGCTGAACCGAAGCCTGCAAAACCCTCTCACTTGTGCTTGGCAGAGGATTATGGGAAGACGTGAGTTTCCTGGACAGTTATATTCATGCTCTTTTTCTTATCTACCTGCTAACAGAGAGAATGACCGGCACATGTGAGCCATGCATGGGCCCATTCACATACTGTCTGTATTATATAGTGTGTGAGATTAGGATTATATTGTCCCTAATCATAGTATGTTGAAAGTAGTATGACAAAGGTGAAGGCTAACAAATGTAATGTGATGAATTAACATCCTACTCTGTTATTGATGGGATGTTTATATGAAAGTGTGTCGTTACAGATGCACATTCATAAATTACTTTTGTTGTAATTTGTTGTAATTTTAATTTAAATAAAACAATTTTTTTTTTTAGATGAATCTGAGTGAAGCTCAGAGATTCACACCCTCACACACACCTCTCAAACCTCTTACATTCACATCTGAATACAGAGACTCACTCACACCCTCCTTCACTTCAGCATGTGTTTCTGCACGACGTGTGAGAACGTGAAACCACTGTCCGATTTCCCTGCTGGAATCATTGCGCCGTCTGTCTCTGTTCGTATGTGCCGAGAAGAGAATTACACTCTCTAAAGGCTTCACGTAAGGAAGTGTTTGGATATGTGGAGTAATCCTGTTCACCAAGCCGCCGTAAGAGCATTACGGAGCAGTCATGACATGTTTAATAATTGCTTAAGTTAATGAGAATTAATTCTATGGCGTCTAATCTAGTTGACTCACACATGCTCTTTCGTGTGGAGGCAAGATTAGCAAACGCTTCACACGTTATCATCTCAAATCAAAGACTTCTCACCTTCAGATGGCGCGGGAGAGAAAGAGACGGTAAAGCCTTATAATAGAGAGCAGTGTTGGAGAAAATACTTCCAAACTCTCCTGAAACGACCCATTTTTTTAAGTCAAGTTACCCGTCTGAAAAAAGTAATCAGCTACACTCCAAGCTACTTACATTTGAAGCTGTTTAAATGGGCAAAAAATATATATGTGATTTATTTTAGATGCGATTATAATGTGATTATTAGCAATTATCTGGCACAAAACATTGAGGATGACAATATTCAACTAAAAACACCATAATTTATATAACAGAATTAAAAAGTTATTAAAATGCAATATACAGCCAAATTAATATGTTTTATTAAGTAAATGTGAGTGTATGCTCATGCAAAACTCACCACTATGATTACAGAGTGTTGTGGGTGGTTGCCAGCACGTTGCTAGGTGTTCTGAGCGGTTGTTAGTATGTTGCTGTGGTGTTGCTAGGTGTTCTGAGCGGTTGTTAGTATGTTGCTGTGGTGTTGCTAGGGTGTTCTGAGCGGTTGTTAGTATGTTGCTGTGGTGTTGCTAGGGTGTTCTGAGCGGTTGTTAGTATGTTGCTGTGGTGTTGCTAGGGTGTTTTGGGTGTGTTAGTATGTTGCTGTGGTGTTGCTAAGAGTATTGTGAGCGGGTGTTATTATGTTGCTATGCAGTTCTGAGTGTTTCAACCAAGCGGCAACCTAGTGAACCTCTCTTGTGAAACCAACACGGAAGTGACTAAAACTGCAATTCATCGACTGGCCGCTAGACTCTCTGGCTCCAAAAGAGAGTCAGTCCCATAGACTCCCCATGTTAAAATGCCCAACTTTACAGCAGAAAACAATATGTTTACAGCCTGGTTCAAAATGTGGTTTTGGTCTTTAAAGCTAATTTTGCCCTTCATGACAACTGTGAGGGGGGTGAATTTTTTTTATAAGTCACCCGTTTAAATTATGTTAAGCCTTAAAGTTCTGCATAATTAAGGGCGTGCGCTGCTTTCACCACCGTCTAGCTAGGTGGGCGTGGTTCCAGCAACCAGCTCCCGCCTCTTTGCCCATTTTCAATGGACCCTTTTAACAAGACTGTGATGACGCGTTTAATGGTCATCAGCATCGTAAATTCTCGAAAGTTTTTCATATTTGTATTTTTTTTTTAAATGTATGTATATTTATAACACTATTCTTTGTATTATATCACCTTTGCATCAAATTGCAAAAAAACAGTTAACGCTAATGCGAGGGTGTTTCTAATGCAGTGTCTATGGGAGGGACGGTAAATTTGACATCGTTCTCTCTTCTGACTGCCGTTATAAGTCTCTCTCAATTTTTTTCCTTTTATTGAAAGTCATGAAAACACTATGGTGGAGTTTTTCTTTTGCTATTTGAGCAAATGGGAATACAAAAAAATATATTTGTAGTACTCTCCCATTCACTGCTATTCAAGTTAACCCAACTATGACGACTTCTACTGCTGAGAAACCCAGAAATGTGAAAAAGGTCCATTATCTGGGAGTGACGCGCGGTGACGCGCTGCCCAGATGGCGACGGCCGGCTCTGCCCACTTTGAGCTTCAAAAACGCTCTTCAGAAACCTACGGGTGACGTCACGGACACTATGTCCATGTTTTTATGCAGTCTATGGTTTCAGCACAAATTCTGCTTATGAACTTGAAGGCTTATAATGGGTCATTAAAGGTAAACATCATATTATGTGCCTGAGCTTTATTTTACATCCTAATAGTTATATAGTAACTGGTAGTTAGTTTTGGATTTTACCTTCTAATTTAAGAATTTATGAATGGCTGGTGTATTTTGCATTTTTGTGATTTAATACTTTTTTTTGTTTTCCAATGCATAATTATATTATTAGCATAAAATCTTTTTATCTTGTGCGGTGTATGTGCTGCTAGCAGTTATGATAAAGTTGCAATGAATTTTGTGCATGAATTCGGCAAGCAGTGCCAGCGCCGATCCGCCTCCCATTGAAAATGATCCGGGAGCTCGTCATTACCATGTAAAACAGCCGTGAAACTGTCTGAACGATCTGAGTGAAAAGTTGAATTGAATAATTTACATAAGCTTAAAGAGGTCTGACTGACTACTGGAGCTCCACAAACGAAACCTGACGCTCATGTTCTCCAGCGTGTTTTGAGATGAAGAATCTCGTCTTCATCTACATGCTAATGTTGCTTTTCATTTTTTCAGGTATGAATCCCAGATTTTCAGGCTTTTGCTCTTTCTTTTGTCCGGTTTGATGAAATTCCCATGAAAGAGCTCCTCTGGTGTGTGTGTGTGTGTGTGTGTGTGTGTGTGTGTGTGTG